TGTCACCACTCTTATTCAAAATAGTTCTGGAAAAATTAGCCAGAACAATTAGAAAAGAGAAAAAAATAAAAGGAATAAGGATAGGAAAGGAAGAAGTTAAATTATCATTATTTGCAGATGACATGATACTCTACATAAAAGGGCCCCAAAACTCCAGCAAAAGACTTTTAGATTTGATAACCAAATTCAGTGGCATAGCTGGATACGAAGTCAACATTCAAAAGTCAACAGCCTTCCTGTACACAAATAAGAGACTCATGGAGAGAGAAATCAGAGAAACAATCTTTTTCACAATAGCATCCAAAAAAAATGAAGTACCTAGGAATCAATCTAATGAAGGAAGTAAAAGACCTCTACATTGAAAACTATAGCACTCTGAAAAAGGATATTGAAGAGGATATTAGAAAATGGAAAGATATCCCTTACTCTTGGATAAGAAGAGCCAACATAGTAAAAATGGCCATATTTCCAAAATTGTTATGCAGATATAATGTAGTCCCAATCAAAATCACAGCATATCTCACAGAATTAGAAAAAAAAAATCCTAAAATTCATTTGGAACCAGAAGAGATCTAGAATAGCAAAGGCAATTCTGGGCAGCAAAGGCAAGGCAGGGGGTATCACAACCCCTGACTTTAAATTATAAATTCTAAAGCTATGGTGATAAAAACAGCATGGCACTAGCAAATTAATAGACCTGAAATAGAACAGACTAGAGGATGAAGAAAGAACTCCAGACATATTCAACTACCTTATCTTTGACAAAGGAGACAACACCTTCACTGGAAGAAAAATAGCCTCTTCAATAAATGGTGCTGGAAAAACTGGCTTTCCATATGCTGAAGATTGAAACTAGACTTTTCACTACGTACTAACAAAATCTAAATGGATTTTAATAACTAAATTTTAAAACAAACACTAAATCTGCTGGAAGAGAGAATAGGTAGAATGCTTGAGGACACAGGAGTAGGCAAAAACTTCATGAACAAAACCCAGACCACACAGGAAATACTACAGAGAATCAATTGGGGCCTCATCTTATTAAAAAGCTTTTCCACAGCAAGAGAAACCACCAACAGAGTGAAGAAACTACCCACAGGTGGGAAAAATTTTTTTTACCAGCTATTCATCAGATAAAGGACTATTATCTAGAATATGTAAAGAACTCAAAAAAATCAGACCCACCCCAAACATAAAGACCCAATGGAAAAATGGGCATCTTAAATAAAAGACACTCCTCAGATTAAGAATTAGAAATGACAAACCTATAAAAAATGTTCAACATCACTGGTCATTTGAGAGATGCAAATAAAACAACACTGAGATTCCATCTCACTCCAGAAAGAATGGCTGCTATCAAGAAATCAACCAATAAGAAATGCTGGAGGAGCTTGGGGGAAAAGAAACCCTTCTTCATTGCTGGTGAGAGTGTAGACTGGCGCATCCACTGTGGAAATCAGTGTGGAGATTTCTCAAAAAACCAAAGCTAGAGGTTCCATTTGACCCAGCTACACTTCTTGGTAGCTTCCCAAAAGAATCAAAAGCACTATACCACAGAGATACATACACACCTATGTTTATAATGGCACAGTTTATAATAGCTAAAAATTGGAAACCGCCCAAATGCCCATCAAGTGACAAATGAATAAAAAATACAATGGAGTACTACTCTACCATAAAGAAAGATGAGATTCAGACATTCATAGCTAAGTGGATGTACCTTGAGACCATAATGTTAAGTGAAACAATTTGGACACACATGTTTAAGTACCTCATTATTTCTCTGGTGTGAAAAAACAATGTGGAAATAAAGGACAGATGTATAATAGATATTGGGAAATGGGAAGAAAGTGTTCAAATGGGAATGGGAACAAGGGAGGAGAGAGGGAGGAAGGAAGGGACAAGAAAAAAGTGAAAATAGGGAGGAGAAGGGGCTTGAGGGGGAGAATGGGATAAAATAAAATAAATAAATAAAATCTCTTAAGGGCTGGGGATTTAGCTCAAGGTACTGCGCCTGCCTCACAAGCACAAGTTCCTAAGTTCTATCCCTGGTATCAAGAAAAACTAAATAAAATCTCTTAAAAAGATTTCCAGGAGAAACGGGGCTGTCACTGAATTTTGAGAGACTGTACAGCACTGTCTAGATGGAGAAAGACAATAGAGTGCATTAAGGAGAAAAATTCACAAGCATTAATACATTGTGAGGCATAATTCACTCAGGAAATGTTTATGGTCAGGGTTTTTAGTACTGTATGTGACAGAATAACAGCCAATAGTGGGAAAACCAGAAACCTGATTAAAAAAATTACCTTTGCATTTCTGGGCTTACATGGTTAGCAAGGAATCAGTCTAAAAAGACAATGGTCAGACTCAAAAGAATCCAGCTGACACTGGATTATACAATGAAAGCACAAGTAGAGTGTTATAGTGTTAGCTGAGTATGAAGGCTGGCTTAGGAGTGGAGCCTGGGTGGGAGGGAGCAGCACAAGAGGCTACACATGTGCATAGGGAGCAAGCTGGACAGTTCCTTAAGATTAAAACCACAACCCAGGGACTGTGAAAATCCAACCAACTCCATGCTGCTTCATTTATGCAACACTTAAATCAATTTGTATATGTGGTACCTTGTCAAACATTTACAGCAAAAAGCTGAAGTGGATGGCTCAAATTTTCTCAGATAAATTGGGAAAACAAGACACATTTAAAAAGGAAATCACAATTGAGAGAGATGCCTAGAACTGCCACAGTCATGGAAGACACAGGAGTGGAAACTTAAGGCAGATTTTTCATTATGGCCAGTATCTGGACATATTAGAATGGAGAGGGACAGTACTGTCTTAGACCTGAGTGAGATAGGTGCTGTCCTGAGCTCCATATGCTATAGGGCCATTCTGTGGTCATCATTTGGCCACAACCTTTCACAAAGGAAAAAAAATCCTCTTAGCCAAAAGACCATGCCTACCAAGGCTACATGTCCCCTTCTTTAGACTGTGTTCCAAGTTCCCTGGCCACAGAATTCAACAAATAACCCTAAGTCCACTTCCAGAACAACCCCCACCACCACAACCAGAAGGACCAGGTTTCCAGGACTTGCAACTCAATTTGTAGTCATGTAAAACAAGCAGCTGAACAATGGAAGCAAAGAGGGTCTTATTTAATTGTATATCTCTTACTGCTTACTAAAGTTGGTAGGAATTTAGTAAAAAGGAATCACCATTCTTCAAAAACACTTTGGCAGTTTGCTAAAAATATGAAATTACCCACATGATCTGTATGCCACTTCTAGGTTATTTACTCAAGAGAAAAGAAAGCATATTTCCACAAGAGTTGTACACAAACACAGCACCTTTATTTGTAGTAGCTATATAAAAACCTCTAAATCTCCATCCACACATGCTAAATTGGGTATAGCTATACTATGATACTACTGGGCAATATAAAGGAATGATCTGCTGACACACAGCACGGAGAGACCTAATTCATTACACTGCATGAGGGCAGCTGGACAAAATAATACGTACTGTGTATTTCCACTTATATGAAGTTCTAGAAAAAAACAAGTATTTTATAGTGACAGAAAGCATATCAGTGGTTGCTTGGGAACTGCAGGGATAGAGACCAGAATATCATTAAAAAGAACAGGTTAAATAAGGACATCTGCACATATGTCTGAGTGAGTTTGTAGCCAGGAGAACTGTATTACATAGTATGCTAAGATGTCTTTATACCAAACAGAAATGATTCCATATGGAAAGTAGAATCTAAAGAAAATCAACAGCATTAGAAATGGATCTAACTGAAGAGTCATATTCTTAACATTCATAGCACTGCTTATCATCAGGGTCAGTCAGACCGAAATGAATTTTTAGATTTTTTTAAAAAGCTTTCTTCCAAAGAGCAAGCAAAGAAAAAAATGGCATGCACACACACATGCGCATGTGCACACACACCTTTTTACCTTCTTTTCTGGTGGGGAGGTAGGTAAAGAGAACAGAGGTAGGGAAGAAGACAAAAAAGAATGTAAGAGAAGGGGGTACAAGAAGGGAAAAACTGAACAAGCAATAAGGAAGGGGGAGAGAGAGGAGGAAGGGAAGAACAGAAAAAAGCAAGAAGAGTGCTTATATATTTTTAAGAGGATTACACTCATTGTTTTATCATTAACATAATTCCCATGGAATTTTATAAATCTATGATACGTTATAGGATCTTACTGATCTTTTTTCCTGTACCTTAAAACATTTAACTATTTAATCATCCTAGGAATTATCACTACTCAGTCATTCCAATCTATGCTAAAAATAAATGGAAAAAGAAGAGAACTGCCTAAAAGAACAAAACAATGGTCAAATAAGACATCACTTTCACATGATCCTTCATTTTCCTTATTTGTCTACCAACAGTACTGCATAATTTAAATCAAGAAGATATAAAAAGTTGGGAGACACCATCTTTACAGATTTACAACTTTCTCTGAATGTAGCTGAGCATTCAAAATTATTCATACAAATTACCTGGGTATCTTGTTAAAGTGCAGGCTCTCAGTCAGTCTGGTTGGGCCCTGAGCTTTTACATGTGTAATACACCACATTGATGCTGCTAACCTACAAATGACACTGAGCAGCAATGATTAGACAATGATCTCTTGAAACTTGTTTGGGTTATAACTGAAGTACTGGTTTGGGGGAGTGGTGGTACTGGGGATAGAGCTGTGGGCCTTGGGCATGCTAGGCAAGTGCTCTACCACTGAGCTATATCCCCACCTTCTTTTGATTTTTTTGAAACAGGGTCTTGCTAAGCTGCCCAGGCTGGCCTTGAACTCTCAACCCTGTATCAGCCTCCTGAGCAGCTGAGATTGCAGGTGTGTACTAGCTACCATGTCTGGCTTTGATTTGGATCTGTCTTTGTTCTAAAAATACCAAGTTTTTGCTTACTTTGTACAAGTATTTTATGACATGTTCTACTTTAGGGAATATAAACTTGTTATCTATTCATTATATTACCTTTCAAGGTATTTAAGGAGTCAGCTGGCCATGCAAATCTACATGTATCTACATTGCTCCAAATGGAAACGAAATCACTGGCTTGGTTTTATTTTTCCTTATATTTTCTGTGCCCGAACACAATATGCAGAAAGTGACCTATGAGGGAGAGAGAAGGGTGAGCACTAGAGCAGGAAGGAGGGAAAGGGAGAAACCAGCCTTGCCTCTGTGCATGTCTGCATTGGTTTGCTTCTTAACAATAAATTATTATCAATACATTGATTCTATAATTAAAGTATTATAACGAAGGGGAAATTGTTAGTGGAATGACTCAGAGGAAAGTTGTAAAATTTCCTCAATGAGTCTAAAAAAACAAAGTTTTAGCTGTGGTGTTTCTTCCTATCCAACTGAAATATAAAGTAAGATGAAACAGATGACATCCTCATATAAAATGGCTACAAACTATAACACTATAGAGAATTCTTAATTAAGTACCTGATAATAACTTACACCCTCATCAAATATATATTTTATTATTTTGTACTCCTATAAAGAGATTAGTGATCAGCCCCACTCTATAGTAACTGACCATGAGCATTTAGTTAAATCCTGAGTCTCACATTAAACAGTGTAAGGTACCAAAATACAACTATCTTCAAAAGATAAGATAAAGCCAGTAAAGTCTGATAACTCCCTACAGGTCTTTCCAAGATGCTCAGAGAAAGAGTTGAGAGGGACCTTTAACATTTTCTTGTGCCCTCTCTGCTTCACTGCTAACACACTCAAGGAACAAAGATGTTTGGGTGAACAATTACTTTATTCCCACAGCAAGAGGGGGTTTTTCTTCAATCCAATTAAACCCATGTAGGGCTTCCCTCAGTGCATGTGCAGTATTATGGCCTGAATTTTGGCTAATTACCACTGTGTTAACAGTACAACAAGATTCTATTTTCCTAGTGTGTTAAAATTATAAACAACAACAACAACAACAAAAGGTCCAAGACAGTTAGTTTAGTAATGATCATTCTAAATGCCCTTGTTGCTATCAATATGTTAAATCCATGTGAGTAATACAGTCTAGAGATTGGCAGAAGGAAATCTATCTGCTCAGCATACTGCATGGAACAATCCAAACCTACACATGATGTATCTCAACCTCAATTCCTTAGCATCTAACTAGACATTACAAGAGTAATAAGACACACAAGAATTTGACATAAACTCTAAAGACTTTTAGAAAATCAAATATTGGTTATCAACTCCTTTGGCTACTGGGCCAGACTTCAGATACCTCCACCCACTTTTTTCAGCCTCTTCGCCTTCCAGATCCCCATGCGAACTCTGCACCAGGCACAGACAGCTCTCCAGAGCTCCCTCCATTCTTTACGTGCTCAGTGCCACTGCACCATTCCTGCTTCTGCCTGGATACCTCCTAGTTGCATTTCGGTTTTCCCTGAAGACTCTCTCTCCTAAACCAGTCAAGAATCCTCTTTGCTGGTAAACATTCATGGGATGCCAGTATTAATGAATGAGCAAATTTGCCAGAATGACACTGGGAATGGGGCTTTTCCTATAGGCTCTTTCCTATGACAACACTCTTCTCTGACAGGTTCAGAGGGTTATCAGGATGGAGTATATAGGAATATATATTTGGCAAGTAAAGAGTGACAGGGAGTCCAAAGAGATCAGACAATGGAAACACTTTGGCAAAGCATCTCTGTATTTCTAAATTGGAGAGATACTGAACCAGAAGCAATACAAAAACCATGCCTCAGTGAACAAACAAAAACATTTTTGAGTGTGCTAGGGACTGAGCTGAGAGCCTCAGACATGCTCGGCAAATTCTCTACCACTGAACTATACCCTTGCTCCCCAAAATGTTTTCACTATAGATTTTAAAGAGATAATATCAGTGTTTGAAATTACTAATTCCAATAATGGGCTTTAAATAGCAGTTTTCTGGAATACCATGGGACATGTATGTAGACTGTCTTAGTTACTTTTCTCTTGTCGCTGAGACAAAATATGAAACCTAAGGTTAAAGGGGAAAGGATTTATTTAGCTCAGTTTGTAGAGGTTTCAGTCCATAAATAGCTGGCTCCACGGCAGAGGGGCATAGCAGAGGAGAAATAGATGAAAACAGAAATTAATGAAACTGAAACCAAAAAAAAAAACAAACCCACAAAGAATTAAAGAAGAGTTGATTCTTTGAAAAGGTAAACAAAATAGATAAATCTTTAGCCAATATTACCAAAATAAGAAAAAAAAGACCAAAATCCATATAATTCAAAATCACAATGGATTCTGCTAAAATCCAGATTATCAGTAACTTTGAGAAACTGTACACTAATAAAATTCAAAAGAAATGGAAAATTTCCTAGATACCCATGAACTACCAAACCAAGACAATATAAAAATCATGAATAATCTACTATCAATGAAATGGAAATTGGGCCGGGGATTTAGCCCAGTAGATCCAGCACCTGCCTTGCAAGCGTAACTGAGTTCCATCCCCAGTACCAAAAAAACAAAACAAAACAAAAAGAAATGGAAGTTAAAAAAAAAAAATAACTACCCACAAAGAAAAGCCCAGGTCTCAACAGATTCACTGCCAAATTCCACAAGAACTTTGGAGAAGATTTAATGTCAATGCTCCTCAAACTCATTAATGAAATTGAAAGGGAAGCGTTCCTGGAAACAGGCATTATCCTGATTCTAAAACAAGAAAAGGATCCAACAACAACAAAAGGAGAATTAGAGGCCAATCTCTTTAATGAACATAGATGGGAAAATCCTCAACAAGATATTGGTGAACAGAATGCAGCACTTCATCAAAAAGACTATACACCATGACCAAGGAGGATCCATTCCAGGGATGCAGAAATAGTTCAACATATGCAAATTAATAAATGCCATACACCATTTAGATGCTGGCCTAGAAAGTTCTGTGCATGCACAGTACCATCTCCCATGAACACCTGTGGGATCCTGAAGAGAATGAAAAGGAAAAGCAACAGCTACTGAAAAGATTGTGGCCAAGGAGGTATTTCATGGCAAATGGACCACACCAGCTCTTAAGTACACTGCTATTTAGCCTGAGGTTACAGACTGGTCTGAAGGTGTGCAGGTGCCTTCTGTGCCCACTCAGCAGTTCCATACTAAAGATTGCTGTGCTCAGCCAGATACTGAAAACTGGTCTGCAGCCCCCACTGCACAGGCCACTTCGTTGGTAGGAATCACCACTGAGCTGTTCTGCAGACACTTAAGCAAAATGGAAATGAAGTTGATGGAAAATAAAATGCCAATCTCTAAAATAAATAAATAAACGAATACAGCACATAAACAGAAGGACAAAAATCACATGATCATCTCAACAGATGCATAAAAAAATTTATAAAACCCAACATCCATACATGATAAAAACTCTGAAGAAAATAGGTATAGAAGGTTTTTAATCTCAATTTTGGTAAAAGCCATCTATGACAAACAAACAGCTAGCACCATACTAAACGCAGAGAAGCTGAAAGGTTTCCTTCTAAAATAAGGAACAAGACAAGGATGTCCATTAATAACACTTCTGTTCAATATATTTTTGACACATTAGCCAAAGCAACTAGACAAGAAATAAAAGGGACATGGATAGGAAAGGAAGAAGTTAAATTATCATTATTTGTAGATGACATGATCCTCTACACAGAAAACACCAAAAACTCCACCAAAACTCCTAGAATAAATAAATTCAGCAGCACAGCAGGACACAAAGTTAATACACAAAAATCAATAACATTCCCATACATCAGTAACAAACTAACCAAGAGAGAAATTAGGGGGCCAGGGATTAGCTCAGTGGTTCTGGAGACTGCCTTGCAAGCGCAAGAACCTGAGTTTGATCCCCGGTAACAAAGAAATAAAAAAAGAAAAGAAAAAAAGAGATGAGGGAAACAACACCTTTCACAATACCATAAAAAAAAAAAAGAAATTCTTAGGAATTAACCTAACCAAGGAAGTGATAGACTTGTACAATTAAACTATAGTACTCTGAAAAAGGAGACTGAAGAAGATATCAGAAAACGGAAAGATACCTCTGTTCCTGGATAGGCAGAATGAATGCAGTGAAAATGGCCATACTTCCAAAACTATTACACAGATATAACACAGTGCCAATCAAAATGCGAACAGCATTTCTCACAGAACTAGAGAAAGCAATCCTAAAATTCATATGCGAGAGAACTAGGATAGCTAAAGTAATTTCTGGGCAACAAGGTCAAGGCAGGGGAAATCACAATCCCAGACTTCAAAATATACTACAAAGCTACAGTGATTAAAAGAAAAAAGAAAGAGCATGGTATTCACAGAAAACCCCAACCAACCAACCAACCAGACTTGTGGATCAACAGAACAGAATAAAAAACACAGAAACCACACCACGCACACTCAGATACCTTATCTTTGACAAAGGGGTGAAATACTTTTGCTGGAGGAAATACAGCCTCTTCAACAAAATGGGCTGGGAAAACTGGCTTTCTACATGCTGAAGATTGAACCTAGACTCATCTCTCTCTCACCACCTACTAAACCAAAATTAAAATGGATCAAAGATCTAAATATTAAAACAAACACTTTGCCTGGAAGACAAAATAGGTAAAACTCTGAAGACATAGGTATAGAACAGAAATGTGGTTGCACAAGAAATAATACCAAACATCAAAAAATGAGATCACAGTAAATGAAAAAACTTCTGCACAACAAAGGAAACAACCAACAGAATAAACAGCAACCTATAGAATGGAGGGAGGAGGTGGAATTTTGCCAGCTACTCCACAAAAGACTAATACCTAGAATATACTAAAAAGAAAACTTTAAACACTGTACATCTCAATTTAGATCTCCCAAATTTAAAGACTCAGTCAAAAAATGAGCATCTGACACATGAAACAACATTGAGATTCCACCTTGCCCCAGAAAAAATGGCTGCTATCAAGAAATCAACCAATAACAAATGCTGGCAGGGCTGTGGGGGAAAGGAACCCTTCTCCATTG